TATGGTTATTGTTGTTTTGTCTTGTTGTTTATCGATAGAGCAGCAGGTCAGTAATGTAAAACAACGAGTAGCTACAGTGCTGTTCTCACTGTCTTCTGTTGTGAGTGACAGGAACAATGGGGCGTTCCTTATATTCACTGGGTACTCCCACACATCACGTGATTCTCGAGAAATCATTCCGCTGAGCTCTGTAAAGTCAAACGCAGTTTATCCGGTTTATACCGTTTACACAACTTCCTCATTCACAAAATAAAGGTACGTGTTGTTTACAACGACTTGTGTGCTTGCTCCCTGAGTTTTTAACTCGTTTCCGGGTAGTGATAACGAACGACAACTCTGACTAAACCCAAGACTCCACAATTGTGTTTAAATTGTCATAGCAGATTTAGGTTATAGATATAATAAATAATACAACGTGCATATTATTATAGGTTACGCTACCCATAAAGTAGTTGAGATTAACCACACCTTTACCAAGTGCAACATTGAAGTGAGGAATATAAAATGCACAAATACTTTTAATAATTTTCTTTTAAATCTGGTGCTTAAAACGGCCATTTTACATAACGAATAATTTTACTTTACTTAAAGTATTTCAAGTGCAGGACTTGTACTTAAGTATTTTTATTTGACTTAGACATTAACATTAAAATAGAAATACTTAAAAAGTGGAAAAGTAAAATAAAATGAAAAATACTATATCTAATAGGTCCTATAAACAATATACAAAATTACAAAATTCTGGATAATTGAAATGTTCTTTAAAAATATCAAAAAGACTGCAGTAGCAGGAATATAAGCTTACAATATACTGTATATACATATGATAGTCTATCATGTACAGATATACAGAAGAATTGCAAATTGACACTGCATTATTGCTACTTTTACTTCAGTAGACATTCCGCACCTCCTCCTCCTCTGTCCAAGACCCAAACACCTGACACCTGAATGCAACAGAGCCTCCATTTTTAAATACTGGAGGGCAGGGGAAACAGCTACCCTGGTTCTGCTCAAAGACTTGGAAAGGTTAGGGTTGCTTAATCCACCAACAAATAGAAATGTCAATGTCTCCACAATTAACCATATTTCCCAAAATGAATGTTGAATATTACTTGATATTTAAAGGTGAATTACCGTCTATTTCCTTCCTGTAGCCTTATTTTGACTCCTGTAATTGTGTGTTTTTAGTTTGATACTTTTTAAATTAGCCCCAACCCGCATGAGTCCTGGGCAACAACCCTCAAATTAATGAAAACTATTTATTTAATAGTCTTGGTGGTGGTCAGTTGTTCACAGTATTCAGAAAATACAAGTTCAAATAATCAATTTAAGAACATCTGTATTGTCTCTTTAAAATCTTATGACACCTTCTGATTAGAGTCAGCTTTGCTGTTTTTGAAAAACTGACTCAAACAAGGAGGATCACTTTGATACACCTCTGACCTAAACCGGTTTCCTTCCTCAGAGCAAGATAAAGTCAGAAAGATATCTGCTCACTCTCAACTATCCGGGAATCACGTGGTTCTCGGTAAATGCTGCAGGAGCTAGGTTCAGGTTCATGGTTCATGTAAGCAGCAGATACAGACACTGAACTTCCGGCTGCTTACAAAATAAAACCTCCATAAACTTGTGCTGTGCCATGACTCATCCTGGTAAATGAGACAGTGGTGCCGGCGTTTAAGAAAACAGGAAGCAAATTTACAAAAACTTTACAAAAAAACGGTCAATTGTTTCAATATAACTCAAAACCAAGTTGTCACATAGCAATAGACACAGACACATTTTTTAGAACAATAATGAATAGTGTATAAAAAACGGTACCACTTTACAATAAGACTACCCTTATAAAGGGATTACGAATAGTTTGTAATTCATTTATTAATTAGGTTGTGAACACTTTATAAATCATTGATAAGCTTGTATAAGACATGAGATAAACAGGGAGATTCTGTCTCAATAATCCTTGTTGGATTCACCACATTTATGGAATAGAAAAACAATTTCAACTTTTGATCTTAATAACACAATATCTAAATCGAATCTCGTTTAAATAATAAATACATGATTCAAAATCAATAATATGAAACAGGACCATACTTCAGTCCATCAGATTTTCCTTCTGAAATGCAGACCCTTCACAAAGGTCAAACATCTGGATCTCACAGGCTACAGACGTTCCACAGGTAGGGATTGTGTAGCTTTTTCTATGTTTTATTCGTAATTTGGAAATGAACGTATTCATTCAGGAAACGACAGCCTGCTAGGAGAGTGTTTGACACCAGATGGCGACATTTATCCTCCGTAGAATCTACAGACGGACTTCAGTCACCTCTGGCCTCATGCTCTTGTGCAATACCACTTATGTGCAATATATTTCCCGTAGCTGTGCAATTTATAGTGCAACCTGGCTGCTATATTGCCTAACTGTTAATGGTACTGGATGTGTATCTTGTAAATTGTGTAATTTCTAGATTTTTATCTTTAATTGTGCTTCTTGAGAGATATTAAGCTATCTTTGGCTCTTTGCTGTAATCATGTAAATGTCCCCTCTATGGGACAAATAAAGTTATTCAGAATCAGAATCAGAATACTTTTATTTGTCCCACAGAGGGGACATTTACATTGTTACAGCAGAAAAGAGCAACAGACAGCTTAATATTAATCATGCATAAAGAAAGTATTAAAGATACAAAAAATTATATTATATTCTGATTGTGATGCTGCAGTGCAACACATGTCCTGTGTGCTAAGGCGTACTACTGTGCAGCTACACGTCCCTCTCTTTGAGCCAGTGTGGAGCTTGTGTTTCTAAGCTGCAAATGATCCGTTTTAGTTTAACACACAGTTAAGCTCACACACACTATTTTATGAACATATAGGTTCACCTGCTGAATTAAAACAGAACAAATTCAGGCAGTAGGCGTATAGATTCACACTTAAAGTATTAGCCTACAGAACAGTACAGCCCTAAGAGAAAAGAGAACATCGGATCCTTTAAAACAACTGTATACAACATACAACTGTATGTTCTTTTTAGGTTTTACTAATTCTGTGATCTGATTACATATTTTTTCTGTAACTGTAACGGAATTCACTTACTTTTTTTTTGTAACCGATTATGTAATCCCATTACATGTAATCTATTACTCCCTTACTTCACCTCATAATGCATTTAGATCATCACTCAGCTGTTTCCTCCCACTGGACGAGACGCACAGTCCCTGTTTTTATTTTTTAAAGACTTGCTTATCAGTGGGAAGAAGTACTCAGATCTTGTACATAAGTAAACGTGGAAGTACCAGAGTGTAGGAATACTCTGTTACAGTAAAAGTCCTGCATTCAAAATGTTACTCAAGAACAGTACGAAAGTGTTGGCATCAAAATGTACTTAAAATACCAAAAGTAAGTACACATTCTACAGATTGGATGTATGATATGACATGTTTTGATTATAATTATTGATGCATTAAAGTGTAAGGGTCGAAATAATTTCAATGACTTCAGACTCAGAGTACCTTGATTCGTCCCACAGAGGGGAAATGTATTATTTACTGTTGGGTAGAATGTGACTTTAGTCCAGATGTAACTAAAGTCTGATTTAAGTGTTGATTATATTGTTTATTAATAATCTATATCTCCAAAGTAACTTAATGTATTAAATAAATGTAGTGGAGTAAAAGTACTTTTACCTCTGAATTGTAGTGGAGTAGAAGTACAAAGCATAAAAGGGAATTATTCAAGTAAAGTACAAGTACCTCACATGTATAGTATAGGACTGCAGTACTTGAGTAAATGTACTTTTACTTTACACCACTGGTTGCTACGCCCAAACAACAAAGAGTATTTTGTATACCTCTGGGGCAGTGCTTGGAGTGGGGGGGGGGGAATAACTCCCTTATGTACAGATTAGCAAGTGCATCAGTAAACCATTATTACATTGAATAACAAGCAAAGCCCTTCTCAGTCTGTTCCAGATTTAATCATACTGCCCTTTATTTGAAATGACAAAAAAATATCTATAAGTTGAGATGAAGCCCTTCACAACTTCAGAGTGTAGCTGTACAGCAGAGATGAAAATAGCAGATCTACTAGTATCATACTCAGGTACAAGTTAGTGTACTTAAAATAAATGTTACGCTAGCAAAATTTAAATTACTTGTTAAAAAATGTACATGGAAAAAAGTAAAGAAATATAACATACTTAGGGTTGTGAAGTAGAGCTATGTGCATATATGTTATTTAGATCTGTTTATTTTTGAGAAGGCCTGGGGCCTACAACTGATAATAAATCATGAAAATATGCATTCCTGAGTAGAGTAACTAGATTCAACCAGAGTCCACTAAGCATACGGCTACATGTTCAAATGTAACATTCTACCTAAACAGCAGAATAAAAACACATAAAGGCAAACACAGATGTAAACAATATAAGCCCCATTGCAGCGATAGCCACAGTCTGTGCCACTATGCAAAAACACACATAGGTGTTAGGATAGAACAAAGAAAGTGTTACAGCTTTTTAATTGACAAGTTAGCGCGCATAACGCAAACTTGTAACAAGTGTTTAATGTGACTCAAGTGGACGATAGCAGATGATGAAGTTCAGGTCGTTTGGATGATCTAATGTAAGCACCCGAGCGCCAACGTAATGCGCGTGCAGTTTAGAGTACCCACTGGGAACCAGTGCTCCCACCACAATAGAATAGCTGCTTCACTTTTTAATCCAGGTATTGTTTATGGGATTCTGTCCCTCTCTCAGGTATAGTTCATTGCTAATGTTGCTGGTAAGACCTCTTCTTTTCCATCTTTGACAAGTCTAAATGTCTTCTGTGAAAAAGACACACGGAGGTCAGTGAAATGTAGTTAGTTTTGGCTGCTCAGACCAGTAGAAAATAATAATTGTAACTGAATACATTTTTTAAGTAACCCTCCCAACCCTGCTTGTAAGTAATAAGTCTGGAGCATGTTTGTACAGGAATCCACGCACAGTAAAGCGCTCACTTTGACACCAATGTTTGGTATTGGAGGGGATTTATTTCATTTTCATGATTGTCCATTAACACAGGGCTATAGAGGATGGATGGTGGACGAGACGTACACTAACATCACCACTTTCTTAACTAACGGACATTATGCTTACATACAATTTCAGGTTACAACAGACAGCAAGGGGCAAGATGATGAAGTAATGCAGATTGGAAATTGCAAGAAGGTATGAAGTCACTGTGTCAAGCACCGGGAAATGAAATCGCAAGGCTGTTTTTCCAAACTGGAATTCAAGGAAGTTTGTTTTGTTTCCTTACAAAACTTGCTGCCTCTGAATGTCACCAGTACATCTTACTTTAGCACTGCAGATCCAGGAAAATGTGTTGTCCTAAAGCAAATCAAAGTTATGGAACTTGTTTAATAAACTGTACACAACATTTACAACTTGTTTGCTTCTTTCTGTCTTTGTGGACACAGATACACATGTAATGGAAAACATACAGACTGTATGGATGTGTTCTCTTCCTTAAGACTTAAAAATAAATGTGTGAACAGAGGCAGAAAGCTCCAATGAGAAATAAAAGATTTGATACAAATTAAATATGAACAAATTAAACGAGTATAGTACAAAGATTCTATAAGAATCATACATGGATTCCAAAGCTTGAGTTATAATTACAAGCTTCCCTCACACAGTTCACATAAGAAAAGGTTACTTTAAGATGAGTCGTTATTAATCTTTTATCTGTGTATAAAATCTGGTTAAATTACTTTACTGATTGTGTGAAGAAATAAAAAACAAACAAACACCAGAAATATGTTTCCTAACTCATTGTTTCTTTTGTTTAACACACATAAAACAAAAGTGGCTAAAGTTTGTCCCCAGAGGAAGCTGTTTGAGACGCCATGTCTGCAGGCCTTCTTCTTCCCTGGCAGGGACCAGCACTGCCTGTGGAGCTGTGGCGCTGTGGAGCTGTGGAGCTGTGGGGCTGTTTAGCATTACTCTACAGCTATTTGTTATTATTTTCTCCATCGCATTAATGTCATCATATTTTGTGAGAAGACTCCATACAAAGTGTCCCACTTCCACTTTTCTGCTTATTTTAATTAATGCTATCTTATTAGCACCTATAAGCTACTTATGTTAAGTCATAAAAGCGATAGGAAAGTAATAGATATAAACATGATTTGAAAAACAACTCAAATCATAGCATGAAGGTGAGGACAGGCTGTACAAAGGAAATGTACAAAATATTAAAATAAGCACAGAGCAGTAGTTCTGGTTGGCGCTAACAAGTAGGTAGATCTGAAGATCTGTGAAGATAGACGTATCAACAGTGAAAAAAACGTCCTTCCTCCTGAGTCTGTCACTCATCTTTTGTTTTCTTAGTCTTTTTTCCTTTTCTTTTTTCACACTGACAGACAGAGAGAAGGCACGCTGCACATTTCCACAAACCTTCATCCTACTGAATATCTCTGCTTAATGCTTTTGTAAAAAGAAGCGTCTTTGTGTGTGCCTCCTCACACACACATGTCTACGATGCCCTCGTCTGCAGCCAGGAGGTGTGTCTTGAGCCCTGGAGCCATGTCCTGCATCTTCACCTGCTCCGAGTCCAGGGGCCCCTGAGAGTCCTGGCCGTAGTGCTGCTGCCGCAGGTTGGAGCTGCCCCCCCCGGTGGAGTACATGCCGGAGTCTCCGCTGCCACTGCTGCTGCGACTGTGTTTGCTGCTGGAGACATGAACATTTAGTCATTCACCACAACGTACATGATTATATGTGAACACAGTACTTGAAGGTTGTAAATCCCAAAGAGGAGAAGGGCCACATGGGATTTTTTGGATCTGAACAGTCAGCAATTCTGAGAAAGAGTCAGACTTTTCCCCTCAAAATTGATTTCTTTCTCATAATTCTGACTTATATCAGAAAAAAAAAAGAATCACTTATGATCTGATCTATAAAAAAAAACAATGGAGATCCTCTCCCATACATTTAAATATAAAAGCCAATAAAACATTTTGGGGTATTTTATTTTGAATGCACTAGTACAGTGTCTGATGTAGAAATAAAGCACCTGCTGTCTGGCTCCAGGCCCGTTGGCTCGGGCAGGAACTCGGGGGGCGGGCTATGGATCTCAAGAAGTGGGGGGGCTGGGCAGACCGTCACTTTATCACACAACAGCTCCGAGTCGAACTCGGGGAGGAGGCGAGGAATGTCAGAACCAGAGGAGTCACAGAGATACTGAGGGGAGGAGAAAGAGCAGAGAAGAGAGTAACATGAGATTCTAGTGGAACTGAATATAGAACGATACGTTTGTAAACAGCGTGAATAGTTCTTCACTTGACTGGTGTGCCGATCTTACCTGGAAGGGGGTAGGCAGCTGGACGGAGGGGTAAAACGTCGCCTTCAATTTCTTGAAGCACCGATAGAAGCCGTAGATGAAGAGCAGCACGACCAAGAAACAGATCACCAGAGAGAGCAGGAAGTACAAAACTATTTCCCACCACGGGACGGTTCCTGTTAAAGTAATCGATGACATCTTTCTGAGCATAGTTGTATTTGTTGGCACAAACAATTTCGTTACCTGTGGCATGCTATTTAGTGTATATTTTATACATATACTATTTTATTTATACAATGGCGAGATTAATGCAGAATCTGAAGTATTTTTCTCAGGAAACATATATTTACTGTTCACCCAAGGGGCCGTACACACGCTGCGTGTTTGGTTTGCTCTGGTTCACTGTTGTCAATGTACATGTGCTAATTGTTCAGGGTGCAACCAGGACACTACAGCTGCACCCAGAGAAAACAGTAGTTCAACTTTTCTCTGAACAGAGCAGGGACAGAACACAAAGACAGACGGAGGACGAGGTAACATCAGGAAGTTACTGTCATTTCAGTGTCAGTAAAGACCCAGTGAAATCAAATAAAACATTTTCTAAAACGGTTCTGTGTTTGTGCATTTACTGTTCTTCCCTGTCCCTATAAAGAATTGATCTCATATATATATATATATATTCTTTAGTGGATGATAATTGGATTTTCTTGGAGCAAAATCTTAAGTAAAATCATTTCAATATCACCCAGCCCTGAAGTGTATATGAGGCTCCTACCTTCAGTCTGCGTGCAGAGTGGGGGGGTGAAGCTGCTGCTCTTGTTGTAGAAGTCGTAGCGTGACTGGACCCGCACACAGTACCAGGTCCAGGCCTGCAGGTTGGACAGCGTCACCACTCTTTTCTTGCTGCTTAGAGAGTGGCTTCTGAGGGCCTGGGGCACAGCAGAGAGGAGAGTGCATTTCATTAGCAGTCAAACACAAAGTCTGCATTGTGCGTGGATGTCAGTGAGGGGGTGGGGGAAGTTTCTCAAACCCATCATTATTATATATCATGCATTCACATTTTATTAAGATTAACTTACTGATGAACAGATTAAAAACACTAAAACATGATATGCAGCTCATTGCGCTCAATTGTCCACTTCAATGCACATTCAACTTTACAATTCTGCATTGTCACTAGGGGTGCACCGAATGGGAAATTCTTGGCCAAAACCGATACCGAAAATAGGAAACAGTTGGCCGAAAACCGAATGCCGAAAGGCCGAAAATGATTAATAGAAATATATATATATATTAGGGCTGCAACGATTAGTCGACATAATCGACGACGTCGATCATAAAAATTCGTCGACGCGGAATTTTAGTGTCGACGCGTCGTATAAAAACAATCAGAGAGCCGGTAACGTTAATTCAAAACTGCGCAAATGTTCATTTGTAACTGCAATGCACTACAGGAAGTGCTGGGGGCAGTATACTCTCCATTGTCTGCCATGACTGCATTCTGTACTAACAACAAAGAAGAAAGAATACGAACGATGGCGGAAAGGAGAGAGAATGAGGGTGATGAAGAGCTCAAAAAAGCGAGACCGAGAGTTTCGAAAGTGTGGGAGTATTTCACAGACGACAAGCCAAAGAAGTCAGTGAAATGCAGAATTTGTAAAGGGGAATTGGCATTCCACGGCAGCACTACAGTGATGCACGAGCATTTAAAACGCAAGCACCCTGGAACCGTGAGGACTGCTACTTTGGATCATGGGTAAGTTTGAGCAAGTTAGCCATAGTCATGTTTACGTTAGCTTACATGTTGGAAAACAGAACGTCTCATGGTTAATGCTTGCTAAGCAAACGCTATTTCAGTTATGTTGAGGCTGCGTGTCCACCAACGAGCTGCTA